TATATATTATATATATATTATATATATATATTATATAATATATATATATATTAAACCAAATGATCTCTGGCGGACTCAAGCCTAAATTGCGGAGTACATGATTGGTATTACTGTTTTTCTTTGACACAGCCATGCTACTATTGGGCCTAACTCCCAAAAGATTAAAAAGGGAAAGGGCTCCTATGTCCAAAACTATTTAGAGCATCTTTTCCTTGTAGCCCAAATCTGGACACTAAGGGGCGTCCGACGGGGGCCCGGCTGAATGCGGCGCGTGGATGCACTAGAGCGCTAGCGGCTCCTAAGAAACGAGGAGAAGGAGAGTTTCAGAGCGAACCGGGAAGGCGCTGCGGTCGCTACAGCGACAAAGCCAGAACCCGAAAGAGTGAAAGTGAAACCTGCCCACGGACCCTCCCCCACGACCCGGCCGGCGCGGCCCACGAGCCCCTGGCGAGCAGAAGGGCCGGGCGGACCTGCTGCAGCAGCGCTATTGGAAGGGGGCCAAGAGGACAGGCTTCGGTGATCCCGGTCCAATCGTTGCGTAGGGCCCAGCTGGGATTCGGGGGCGGGGCCCCGGACTGAAGGGGGCGGGGTGGGCAAAAGGAGGGCAGGGCCAAACGGGGAACAGCGCACCTAGGGTGCGAGGCCGCGGGAGGTGGGAAATCAGAGCCCCTGGCCAATCAGCTCCTGGGAGTGGACGGGCCCCTCCCCGGAGGAGGAGCCAGGGTGAAGACAGCCCGGAGGAAGGCCGTACCAATCTGGGGCAGCGGGGAGGAGCTGTCAGTGAGGGCGCCGCGTCTCCGCTTCGGCTCAGGGGAAGGCCTGGGAGAGGGCCATTGCTGTCGCCAGACTTTCCCAGCCTCTCCTGGGCGGCCCGGGAGATCGCTGGGCCCTTGACAGCGCCCCCGAGTAAAGCCCGTCTCCACCCCTTTCAAGCCTCCTTCCCCACCCGCCGCTGGCTGTGGGCCGGCCCGAGCCGCCCCCGCCCACACCTGGGACCGTACCAAGTCCGCTCGGAGGGCTCTCCCTCTTCCTCCCCGGGGGGGGGGTGCCCTCGGCCTTGGCGCCTCGGCGCCGAGCCACCCCCTCCCGTCTCGGCGCTCCCCCCTCCCGGAGACCCAGCCCGTGGGACGTTCCGGGCTCCTCCTCCTCCCACTGGCCCCGAGGCGGGGCCTTATGCGCAGGTGCCGGAGCCGCCGCGGCTTGGGCGGCTGCGGGGAGCCGGGCTCGGAGCCGGGACAGGGCCCGCGCCAGGGACAGCGAGCGGCCCAGGGCGAGGGCGCAGGGCGCGGCGCGGCGCGATCGGGATCTCGCTACTGGGGCTCCGCGGCGGCGGCCAGGCCCATGGGCGGCTGAGCGGGACGACGCGGGCGGGTCGAGCCCAGCCGCCATGGCCGACGACTACTGGGACCTCCCGCGCCGCCGCCGCCGCCGCCGCCGCTGCCGCCGCCGCCGGGGCCGCCGCCGCCGCCGCCGCCGGGGCCTGCCCGGAGCCGCCGCCCACGGAGCCCAGGGGGTCGCCGCCGCAGCCGCCACCGCGCCGGGCCCGCAGCACTGAGGCCCCCCGCGCTCCCGCGCCCCCGCGCCCGTCCCCACCTCCGCTGCCGCCGGTAAGCTCGTGCCCCTCCCCCGCCGCCCCCCCCCTCCTTTTTTCCCAAAGGGGTGGGGGCCCAGGACGGAGGATGCAGGGCTGGGGAGTTTCCTATAATGCACTGGGGCCTGGGAAAAAAGGGGGGGGTGTGGCCACCTTGGGACTCTGCCCTCTGTTCATCCCACCCAAGCCCTGCCTTCTATAACCACCCCCCCCCCCAGCCCTCCACCCCTCTCTACCTACCACCCCAAGATTTTGTGGGAATGGGGAGGGGAATCGGTGTTCTCGGTTCCTCGGGGTTCCCCCGGGCTCCCCAAGAAGCAGAGGCAGTGTGGTGCATGCAGGACTTGTTCCAGTGGGATGACATTGCCTTAAACGCTGCCTCTGCTGTTTCCTACCTGTGTGACCTTGGGCAAGTCAGTTGGCCTCTTGGAGTACCCCTTACCTCCTCTGCGAAATGACAGATGGCACTAGGTGATGCTGAAGGTCTCTTCCAAGCCTAATTATATGATCCCCATTTCTTCACAGACTCTTTCCTTTCCCCCAAGACGTACAAGGTTCTCGAGGGTTCTCTGCCTGTTTCCCCCCTCTCCCATCCTCAGTAATATGTCCTTGGAGTTCCCTAGACCTTTCCCCTAGCAGGAATAGGAGGCTCCTCTTCCCTCCCCCAGGAATGCGATTCTTAGGTAATTCCAAGGTACTTCCCTCTAACCTCCCCTCCAGTTCCCTTAAAACTCTTCTGCCCCAGAAATCATCATCATCATCATCGTCGTCATAGCTAGCATTTCTCCAGCTTTGCCAAAAGCTTTTACGTGGATTCTCTTTTGATCCCCACAACAACCTTGGGAAGTAGGTGCTATCGTTTCCGTTTTATGGTGGAGGAAAGCGAGGCAGATGGAGGTTGCAGCCTGCTCAAGGTGCCTAGGGCAGCCCCCGGGTCCCATTAGCTCCCTTCTACACAAGAAGAGGTTAGGGTTCAAAGTTCTTCCAGCAAAATCAGGAAATTCAAGGGGCTCCCCTTCCCCCAAGCAGCAGATGGTTTTTAGGCACGGGGTCAGATGGACACTAGACGGCAGAAGGCCCAGCTTCAAGTCCCAGCCTCTAACCCGACATATGAGCTTGGTCCCATTCTTGGATATTTCTGCTCCGCAGGCAGGACTTTGGAGTGCACTCCAGAAATTCTAGGTTCTAGACACAGAAGCCCCTCCCTCCCAGCCTTTCTTTCAGCAGGCTGTGTCCCTAGCTTCAGAGACTCCCCCAGCAGGACTCTGGGGGGAGGAGGGGACCGGAAGATGGTGATGGCTTGAAGCCTGTGGGAACCTGGCTCCTGGGCCTAGAGACAGGGAGGTGTTTCTCCAGGTTGTGAAGTGGTTGGGGCGATAGAGAAGACACCTAAAGCCCTGGCTTCAAGTCCCACTCGTGACCCGAGCCGATTAACCATGGAATCACCCGGAACCTAATCTGTGAAATGAGGCTCAGATGAACTCAGATCTGGAAAGGCTACCTTAGGGCTAAGGGAAGGCTCTGAATAGTCAGGGGGGTTCTGCTGGGGATGGCTGCCCTTCTGCTCCAAGGCCTTAGCTGGCCTGAGTTTCCCAGGAATGGGCAGGCTCCTAGCCCAGCCTCCTGCCCGCCCTTCCCTCTGCTTCCCTGCAAGCAGCTGGTACCTCAGACATCCTGCTTGGCTGCACTTCCCATCTAGGGCCTAGGGCCATCTGGGGCTAAGGCTGGGCAGTTAATGCATTATACATAATCCTGAGGTCTTCAGGAACACCCTTCCCTTTCTTAAGACCACCCTCTCCCCCTTCCCTGCCAGGGCCCAGGCACTGGCCCTCGAAGCTTCTCGGTGGTCTTAACCCTGCCTGCCAAGGTCCAGGCCCTGGCCCCCCGCCAGCCTTTGCTGAGATATTTATAGCTGCTGAGTCAGCCAGGGCCTCTCTCTGCAACCAGGGCTAGGCTGGAGATAGAGGAATACCCCTCTTCCTTCCCTGGGATAGGGAGATAGTGAGGCTCAGGCTAAGCCTTAAACCTTGTGCCCCCAGGCCACTCTGCTATTCCTTGGGGAGATACAGGCTTGGGGAACCCCCGAACTGAACTAGGGAGACCCTGTGAGAGACAGGGAAGGAGACTCTAGCCCCACCCCCACCCCACCTGGCATTGCTGGGGGTGGGGAGCCCCTTATGTGGTCATTGTTGAATCTCCTTTCCTACCAGCTGGGAGGACAGACAGGTCATTCTGGGAGCCGTCCCATTCGAGTGGGGGGGGGGGGTGGAGCTGAGCCCCCAAGGTCCTTGGGCCCATGAGCTAGGCCTCTAGCTAGTTCCCCCCCCTCCCCCACCCATAGCTGGCCTATGGGACTGTCCAATTTAGTCCCCGTGGCAACGGTTGCCAGGGTCATGTGATTCCCTGGGGCAGTGGGAACATTCAGTCCCCTGGCAGTTGGGGGGGATGTGGGGCTGGTGCCAAGGGAACATACCATTCTATGGCCGCTAAGCCCCCTGCCCAGCCTATTTCTCCACCTGATTACCTATGTTGTGGGGCCCTGTGCTCCTACTGTGAGTCCAGTGGGCAGGGCGGCACACAAGGAGAAGGCCCTGTGCCCTCAGCCAGCAAGGTGGGCCTGTTGCCCTCTGAGAGCCAGTCCCCCGGGAACCCCTGAGGAGCAGGAACTCAGTCTGCCCCCTCCCCCCAGGTCACCATGGACCGAATGAAAAAGATCAAGCGGCAGCTTTCCATGACGCTCCGGGGAAGCCGGCCTCCGGAGAAGAGCAGCGGCTCTGAGCAGATCAACATCGAAGACAGTAACTGCAGTGACAACGGTGAGGCCAGCTCGCAGGGGCTTCTGGGGGCCAGCTGGGCTCTCCCTCTCGCTGGGCAGCTCCCTTCGGATTTGGGTGATTGGTTTTCTCCATTTTCTTCTTTTCTGTGTGTTTCCTGCTGTTCCTACTTGTCCTCCCTTGTCCATCACCCACCCTCCCTTTGGCTTTGCTCCCTGGCCCAGGCCCTAGCCCTGGTGGGAGGAAGGGCGCCTTGCCCTCATCCCACAGCCTGATACCCACGGTTCGCCTGCCCCCCCGAGCCTCCAGGAGCCTGCCCGCCCTGGGCCCAACCCCCCGGGCACCCCAGCAGCCTCCACCGCCACCGGCCCGCCGGCCCCGGGCCACTCGCAGTCTCAGCTCCCCACTGGACCATGGCACCAGACTAGGTGACTATATGCCCCCCAGCTTGGCCTGCTGAGGCCTGGCCCGTCCTGTCTGTGGCCTCTGCCTTCTACAAAGGTCCAGCTCTCTGGAGTGGTCGTCTGAGGGCCTTTGAGGCCATTGTGTGATGGGGGGAGGGGGAAGGAGGGATCCCTGCGGCCCCTGAGCCGACCCCTACTCCACCCCAGAGATTGTGCACGAAGACCTGAAGATCGGTTCAGATGGGGAGAGTGACCAGGCCTCCGCCACATCCTCTGATGAGGTGCAGTCACCTGTGAAGGTCCGAATGCGAAACCATCCAGCCCGCAAGATCTCTACTGAGGTAGGCTTGGCCAGAGATGGCAGTTACTTACTGATCTTAATGGCTCGCGAGCCACCCCTGTCTGGGCTCGGTCTCATACCTTTGTCTGCTCCGAAGCAGAGTGTAGGGCAGCGGGGCCCTCCTGGGCCTTGGGCCTGCCATGACCCTTTTTGCTCTCCCTTCTCACTTTGAGACAAGTTCCTGGACTAACTTGGGAAGACCCAGCTGGCCAGTAGACTGTCTTGTTACATCTAACTGGAGGTGGCATCTGGCCCCAAGCCTTTGGCCCTGTGGGGCTCCAAAGTGTCATTCCCCCCCGGCTCTGAAGCTTTGAGCTCATGGCCTAGCACACAGTTAGTCAAATTCTCTGCATTCTTGCACTTCTCCAGAGAAACCTACCTCAGAGTCCCCCTGTAGGCCTTCCCTGAGCTTCCTGGAACCCGAAGCCCCCTCACTTTCCCTGACCCTTAAAGGATGAAATTCTCTTCCTGCTCGCTCCTCTGGTTGGAGGGTGCCTTGTGCCCACAGACTCTCAGAGGGACTTTAGGGAGGGCATTTGGAAGTTGGTTTGGTCGGTCTGGACCTGACCAAGAAGAGTCTGTCGTCCCCGTCCCCCCCC